ACCGTGAAATCATGACCTGAGCCAACGTCAAGAGTGGGACGCTTCACCGACTGAGCCACCCGGGGCACCCTGAGAACTCCATTTCAACACAGGGATGGATCTACCAGTAAAATTCTTTCTGTGCAAGGGCAAGAACTAAGGGCAAGTTTAGGACACTTCTAAGAGGCATGATTGGCAATGGGGTTCCTGAGGGGATAAAAGAAAAGCAGCAAATGCCGATAGTAGAGATTTTTAATAAGAGAAACTAACATTCGTTGAGGGTCTATAGCCGGCGCTGTATTAGGCACTGTCATAGAGCATTGGTATGGGGTAGGCAAATAATTAAGGGCAGAAAGGGGTCACAGAAGAAGGCAAATGAGCTACCTGACTGCACTTGGAGTCAGACAGCCGTGGGAGACCAACCGTACGGCTACACACACACAGAGCACCCCCGGGGTGCCTGCTGTCTCTACCTCGTGAAGCTAAGCCTGCAGAAAACTCACCTTGACCAGAACTGGTTTGATGAGTGTGTCACTTTGGCCCTTTTCTGGAACAAACCCCTTCTGCCTCCCACAGAGTTCATCGCTGTCCAGAATCTGGGTAGTAACAGTAAAGTTTACATGACCTGACAAGAAAGAAGGAGAAAGGAAGGCATTAGCCCTGTTGCCGGAGGTCCAAGGAGGTCTCTTCCCCTCCAGACCAGTGCTCCTTAAACTTAATGGCGTTCAAAGACCAGTGTGGTAGGCCGCCTCTAAGGGTCCCCAATTATCTCTGCATCCCGGTATTCATACTGCTGTGTCAGTTCCTCTCAAAGCGTGGGCTGGATTAAGTGACTGGCTTCCAAAGAGGAGGATAGGACAGAAGCAATGAGATGCCATTTCTGAGATTAGTTTACAAAAGACTATAGCTCCTATCTCAGGGGCACTCTTTCTCTTGGGCCCCTTACTCTGCAGGTGGCCAGCTGTCCTGTCATGAGGCCGCCCGGTGGACAGATTCACGTGACAAGAAACTGAGGGAGGCCACCAGCCCACAGCTGAGGCCAAGAACCGCAGCCCGTGTGGGACAGAGGCTTTGGAAGGAGCTTGGAAGCGGATCCTCCTCTAGTCAAGTCTCCAAATGAAAACATAGCCCTGGGTGACGATTTGATTGGTATTTGATGAGAGACCTTGAGACAGAGGCACCCTGCTAAACAGTACCTAGATTACTGGCCCCCGGAAACGGGGTGATGAGAAATGCTTATTCTTTTAAGCCTCTAAGTTTTCAGGGTGGTTGTATCAGACAGGTATTAGATAACTAATGTATTAGGTAACTAA